TGGAAATCCTTCGGACACACGGCACACGACGACCGTTACCTGGATGGTGACCTCCTCCTTGGACTGCGCCAGGACCCCATGTCTCAGGATCTCACATTTGGGCAAAACCTTCAGAAAGAGAGAAGAAAAACGACACCGATCACACGCGCTAATGTGCTGCACAGTGCACTTTGTGGCCTGCTCTTTCACAGACACCGGGGGGTTCATGCACTAAGGCGTGCGCCCCGAGTGCCAGGCGGACAGGTGGGTGGGGGCGTCAGGAGTCAGTGGGCACCCCTGTCCCTGCTGTGGCCAGAGGGACACAGGACGTGTCCCTATCCCTAGATGTCTTAGGAAGGCCAGATCCATTCTCAAGGACCCCAGTCATCCCAGTCACAAACTCTTTTCCCTCCTACCGTCCGGTAAACGGTACCGAAGCATTCGGTCCAAATCCAACAGACTACGGAACAGCTTCTACCTCCAGGCAGTAAGAGTGCTAAACAGCCAACCTGCAGCTCCTTCAGCAGATCACCTGTAATGGCTACATGGACACAGTCTTCACTGTATTCAGCAGAACCGCACTGCTTGTATATCCTGCACACACCCTGGACACAGCAGCTCTACTCATATTGAGTTTGATTCCATTTCTATGACATCTATTACTAAGTAACCTTATTTTCATAGCCTCAGTTTTGTGATTTTTGTGAGCTCGCAGAAAAGACATTTCATTGCCAGCAACTACTGCTGCACGCCGCATTGTTGTGCGTTTGAGAAATAAGCTTTGATTTGGATTTGGACACGAGCGTCAAGACTGACTGAAAACCCAGCTGTGAGCTGAATGAGCTGAACTCTAGCAGTATTGGAAGTTTCCAGAATGAGGCTCACCTGTTCACAGTCCCGCATTTTGTTACAGGGGAATGTGCTGAATTGAAGCAGAATCCTACTTTAATCATCCAGACTTCAATTGTCTTGTTTATTACCCACAAATAAGGTAGCAAGCTGGAAACAGCCGACACCTACTGTTAGTTTTGCATGAAAGTGTGTAGCTCATAAATCCCGATCTGGGTTGACTTGCTGAGCAGTCGAATTATTATCCCTGCCACGGTAAACACCCGGGTTGAATCAGATCTGCCCCGCGCTTGAGTCTTCCCAGCCAGCGGAGGGGACGGCGCAGAGAGGGGCTCACCTTCACTGCGTACGTCCTCTGCTGTGTCCGGTCCCTCACCTTCAGGATGGGACCATAGGAGCCCTTAGCGATGCAGCCCAGGATCTGGAAGACGGGACAGCGCACAGAGGTCAGGAGCGCGGGCGCGGGGGCGCGCGGAGAGCGTGGGGAGCAGACGGGAGCGCGGATACCTGGAAGCGCTCCGGACCCGGGAGGCGGCTGCGATGCGGGAACTCGGGCAGGAAGAGGGAGATGAAGCCGGGCAGAGGCCACTCCAGGAAGGGCTCCTCGGGCGCCGGGGGCTCGGGCCGCCTCCCCTCCGTGATCGTGCGGCGAGGGGCGAAGCGCAGCCCCCCCCAGCGGCAGAGCCCCGCAGGGAAAGACAGGCCCACGCTGGAGAGCAGACCCCTCCACCCCGGTGCGCAGCGGGGGTCCTCCAGCAGGGGCTGGCCCTGAAACAGCAGTCACCGCCGTGACCGTCAGCACACAGACCCGCTCACCTCTGTCGCACGATCCGGCCGAGACCAGAAACTTCAGTTTTAGCAGGTGTTTTTCTGCAAGACCACCAGGGAAGCGGGGTCCTGTATCACGGGGCGCTAACGCTGTGAGAACGATCTCAGCAAAAAAGTTTAATTCGATAAAAGACGCATTTCGTTTTTTTGTTTACCGGAGGGAAAATACACTAGGCGAAGACAACACGGCCGGTGACCTACTTAAGCCAGCGATCCGTTTTTGCAAGAAAAGCAGCACGACTCGTGCCATCACAGCTCTAGAAAAAAAACAACACACGCACTGTATATCGTGCAAGTCTCCGTGGGTTCCGTGGGGGGCAACACTGTCAAGTTTAAATGCCGCTGACCGGAGTGTCCGGGCACTGCCGCGCAGGGCGGTGAGCAGAGAGAACAAGCTCTCCATAACTGCAATAAAACACAGCCCAGTAACTTCCTGCAAATCAGAAATACGAAATCAAAGCCGAAGACAAACTCGAGGGTCCGGGACACATTTCATCAGCGTTTTCGATCGCAGCTGATCAACCTTTGGTACATACGAGCCGTGACACCGGGCTGACACCCTGACCACCGGTCAAGAGCGCTGTTCTCACGCGATTTAAAAACCGTAAGGGCAATTGGGAACAACGTGCAAACAAGAAGTATATCTGTCGTAGTGTTGCAAGAATTAATGAAAAGGGTATTCATAATCAGGAGGCGTCGTAACCTGTCACGGACTGATGAGTCCCTTACCTTACTGTGGTTACTGACGTCAGCCCCCATCGGATGTTTCTTACAGGAGACTGTGTGGTCGTGCTGCGGTCTGTGCTCATTAATCCGTGGTTACAGACGAGAAATTTATTTATTTTTTTAATGCAAACACGGCGCTCCTGTTCCATTGCAAAACATCCCGTCCCGTGAAAAACGACGCCATGCTACCCCGATCGATTCACACCTCGTCGGACGGAGGGGCCGGCTGCCGGAATTAAAGGTGGTAAATACTGCGCAGATTGCGTTTTCGCTCCGGGAAATAAAAAAAAAAAACAACCTCCGTTGCCTTTTACATAAGCACATAATCCCCCTGTTTCCCTCAAGGCAAACTCCAGTAACTCCCGCCCCTCTTTTTAATATGTATGGGTCACGCCGGACTGGTGCGTCAAACGCGTGTCCGCTCCGGGCTGCTTTTCTGAGTTAGGGAGTCGGGACAGGGGTCACCTGCTGCTGTGTTTATACTCGCACGTTATTCAATTCTAAAAGTGACATGGTCTGGGATGATACCCACGTTTAAAATAGACGGAAGGTCCTATCTAAAATACTATTTTTAAATGCAAGGACATGAAAGCTGTGCGGAGCTTATCTTTAGGTTGTTTAAACTTTTTTTTTAAATGCAATTGCCCTACAGTATGTACTCCAGACGATGGTATTGATAGGTTATATGTACTGTTGTTTCGTTTGTATTGTAGGTATTTATATTTTGTGTTGACAATGGCGATATTTTATTATTTACATAGGGTTCTCATGAATAGGTTTGCACCAGTTGTCATAGTGGCGAGAGCGATCTGCCAATATCTTTCGTCACCGTCCTTGCGATGATACAGGATTCCTGTTTAACTGTTCAAAGACGCATCTCCCAACTTCTGAGCATAACAGCCGAGCTTTACAATTAGTCACAGACTGCCCGTGAAAAATTAACGCTAGTCCTTGTATTTATGCGTTCGTTCCCAACAAATTAAACAACTCTCATTACGCGCAGTCCACTTTCCTCATACAGTTACTGCATAATCTTCTTTATCGACACAGGCGGTTTCTGAAGGATGCTTCACTCTTTAACAGTTGTTGTAGGCGTAGGAATAATCGCTCTCTCGCGATTTTCTCCGCTTGGTCTTCAAAAGCAGTATTTCTCGGCAGTATTCGAAAAAAATAAAAATGCGAATTAACTACTGTGTGCTGTGTGGGATGAAAAAAGCAGCAAACCTACTCCAGCTGTAGATAATACATTAAAATCACGATCTGAGAACTGTTCTCTGCGCTGCGGCAGATTAAAAAGGTTTAGCTCATTTTTAATTGCCGTTAAGAAGAAACTTGCGCAGTACCGACTGCACCAGGCTCAGGTGGATCACTGAATTCGACCGTATTTGTTTTGTATTGTATTTTTGAGAGCTTAATGTTAAAAACCTCGATTCCTCCCATCGATACCTTTATAGTACCCGATTTTCCCTTTTCAGATCAATAACTAAAAGTGCTCCTCTTTCGGAGTGCTGCTTGCAATCCAGATGAGCCAAGGGTATGGTACAGCTGTTTCCTGAAAGAAGCAATGGTATCCGTATTAACAACAGGGCTGGGTAGCTTGTTCCAGACCCCCACAACCCTTCGGGTAAAGACAGAAAATTTGATCAAATCTCAAAACTCTTCTAGAAACACATGTATGGCAGCTTTTAAAAGTTTTAGGGTGACAAACGTTCCTTGGCTGATAAACTGCAATTGTGCACTTTTCTATGTTCAAGACCAGGCAACAGAAGAAGGGGTTTTATTCATAATGTGGGATTCTGGTGCCATTTCTTTCAGCCACGTCACTATAGAAGCCCAAGAGCAAGGAGTAACTGAATTAAAAATAAGGAGAGAAATGAGGGCCTTTATAATCAACATTCGGCTGGAGGCCCCAAAGCTTCAGAAAGACTGATTTTGAAGACCTATTCCATCTGAAAATCATTTGATTTCTCATGAACTGAGGGCAAATGCCCACTCTGGATTAACTAACACAGATTTACAAGCAGGGATTAGCGGTCTAGTCTACCATCTGAAACTCTGACCGGTACCAATCTGTCTGGGGGAAAAGAATTTGATGAGCCAACCAATACCAGCTGCCGACAGGACAGGCAATGTGTGTGTACAGGTAGTATTTTTATTGACAAAGACAATTTCAATCACATGCATGGTGACTGGTACATCCTTCCCTCCGTTATCAGTTAAAACGAAAAAAAAAAACACAGCCTAGGGAAGAGTAGAAAGAAAACCCTTCTGCCTTTCGGATCCCTGAAACGTTCTACCCAACGTCATCTTCAGTGAGGCTAACAAAGAAAGAAGAAGGAGCATGTGCCATGCACAGAATTTAGAAAGAAAGACGCCGAGGTTACAAAAATATTCCAAAATCCTTTGCTTAAAAAGTGCCATAGTGTTAAAGTTACAAAATATCGCTCAGATCTGCACTAGGAAACTCATTTTGACTGTGATCAACCTCGTTGCCAGAACACAAGTTCAACAAGTAAATCGGATATTTCAGCACTATGCTCTAACTTTGCGCTATAACTGAGGTATTGCACACAGGGGGATAGGGACAATGTTGCACTACAACGGCGTAGAGCAGAAAGCCTGAGCAGTCACACCCGGAACATTGTGCTTTCTGTTAATATCCCTCTCTCCTTCCTTAACAGCCATCTCCGCCAGCAGCCATGTTAAATAAGAGGTACAGTAGGAACCAATGCCGTTAACCCATGGGAGAGAATGCTATAAAGACCTGTGCCAACATCCAACACTGTTCCTGTTAAGCCAGGATTGCACTGGCTGTAATGGGCAGAAAGAAGGTTTTATTTTTTCAGGAGCAATCTGGGGTCGCCAGACCGAATGCTACAGTACCACACACCCTAGGCAGTGGGAGCCTGAAAGACATTTTACATGAAAACCTGAGCTGGCAAAAACGTTTGCCCTATTACAGCTATTGGCTTCAGCAGGGTGTTCAGAGACCAGGCGTGATGTCTGCCCATGGAAACAAAGGAGATTAATGGATCCACTGTAGAGGCCTCCTTCACTAATCTCAGGTCCCGACAGCTCACAATGTGCCGCCTGCCCCAAGCACACGGTCCCCCTCCCCCTGCAGGAGGGACACCAGCGACCGAAACGGGGCCCAGGATGGACCAGGGTGCGACCCCAGACCTGGCCGGCAGCCAAAGAGAATCAGCCTATCGAGGATTGCTCAGAGGCAGGGGGGGTGGTCCCCCAAACACGTCTCCTTGTCTCCTCTACAAATCAGAAAGCCACTGGATTCGCGCGACATGGCAGAGGGAGTGGGTATGGGCGCAGACAGTGGGCAAAAGCAGAGGACAACCAGGCGGACACAATCCTTTAACAAGAGCACGAGTACAGTCCCCACAAAGAACGCACCTCTAGCATGCGAGAGGAAAAGGCAACAGCTCATTCTTTCACCTTCTTTTCTTACGGCCTTTATTTTCTCCTCATATCAAGCGGACAAATGCACAGCGAATAAGACTTTATCAAAAAGTCTTACAGAAAAGTGTGAAGTCTGGGGCACTGGGACAACACAGGGGGTGAAGGAATACAACTACAATGCTCTTGTTGTGTACTTTGTGTACTACTTTACAGCCAAGAATCACAGAAAATAAGAAGACAGCAATCAAGTCTTTTCTTTTAAACCTAGTATACAGTATAGTGCTCAACCTCTCTTACTAATGAGACGGCTTTCCTAAGGGGAAAAATGATAAACCCCACCGGTACACACCTCACAACTGAGCGAATCAAAAAAAAAAGAGCTGACTTCCATCATCATCATGATTTAAATATCTGATCGAAAGCTTTTTTTTTTAAAAAAAAAAGTGAATTAAAAAATAAACTACTGATAACGACAGAGAAACCGGTTCTGAAGCGGAAACGTTTTCATCCTGGATCAGACAGCCTCCCCCCCCCCACCGCCACACCAAGCGCTACTCCTCGTGTGAGATATGAAGTTACCCATGTGCACAGTGCTCTTTATTTACACCAGACACAATCCCCGGAGCCGGCCTCGGGTCTCCAGCCGGCGCCTGCTCCGTTCCTTCTGCTCCCGGTGAGCTGAACAGTCGAGATTCCAGCCGGACAGCGGTAGCGTTCCCGCAGGGGATACTGAAGGCAGTTTTGGGCGATGGCTAGGGAATGCTCTGGGTCCATCTGGCTGATGGCGATTCCGGTTGTTTTTTTCCCCGTGCAATGCTTTGCTCTCCGACTGTCCCGACAAAGCACCCGTTTCCGGGGGGGGGGAAGGAGGATTCGGTGAAAACGCCCCCCCACAACTTTTCCGCCACTCTGCCCTCTCTGTGCTCCCAGCGCACAGGCCCGGCCCCAAGCCGAGCCGGGACAGGGGGGTCCCGCAGTCCGAGGCGGGCACCGCGGCGGCGCCAGGGGTCACTTCCTGCGGCTGAAGATGCCCTTCTTGCTGGCGCTCTTGTCGGAGGAACTCAGCCCGATGAGGAGCCGCGCCTTCTCGTCCTCCTCCTGCTGCTGCAGGCTCGTGTCCGACTTGCCGTCCGGCGCCTTGCCCTTCGTGTCCGAGCTGGAGGCCGGCTTCAGCCGCAGCTTCTCCTTGATCATCTGGGGAGAGAGGGCGCCTCGTTTACAGACAGCAGCACTGGCCGACTGGCTGCTCAGTGCAGCACTGCTGTAGCCCCACCAGGGGGCGCCATGCGAGTGAAATCATGGTAGAGGCATGTCAGAGGACAAAGGCACTGCTCCAGGGGTGCTGTATAAATGGCTGACCCTGCGCTCTGACCCCCAGCTTCTCTCCCTGTCTGTGTGTCTCCTGGAGAGCAAGCCGGGGTCTGTGAAAAGACAAATTCCTCACACAAGAAATTGTTTATGGCCAATAACGTAATCTTATCTGATCTCTCTAAACCACTGGACGAACAGCAAGCACCCATGGGAAAACAAGGAAACGTGCCGGTCTCCAGTGTGACCCCTACCCAGTGCTGGAGTGGAAAATTTAGGGGACCGTTAGGCATCCATATTTGTGAAGCTTCGACATCTGTACGTCCTATGTTTGCAATTCCAAAAAGCAGCCTCTGTAAACAATAGATTCTTTGAATTTTACATGTCTTACGTCTGTAAATCTAAAGAGGCAACTGTAACTACAGTCAGTGGTAGGAAGCCATCACCATAACAAACAGCAACTGCAGGAGTTAAGGAAGCACAGAAGCTTGGTAATTAAATATGACGTACAGTATTAATACTACTTAAGAGCAGGAATATTGATTATGACTAATCAGCTGACAAGAATGTATCTATGTTAAATCTATACTTACCTGCTTGTTTACTTCTGCATTGTCTACTGTTTGTTTGTATATTGTGTTGATGCACTGTCTGCACTTTGTGTTTTTCCACTTGTTTTAACAATCGAGAGACTTTCCGTAAGAATTCCATTGTACCAGTACATAGACCGGTTACATATGGCAATAAAATTCAAGTTCAAGTTATGAATATCATGATTGTTGTAATCACAATTTCTTTAAGAGATATAATCAAATACGCTGTGTGAAAGGAGAGTTAAAAGAACCAGGCAGACTCCAGGACTAGAGGGGAGGTAAGAAGAGCAGGGAGACCTGATACATTTGAAGTTAAAAACAGCTCTGGGAAGTGAAAAAAGATCAAGGCCACTGCAATCTCGGCTCGAGCTGGTTCTGAACCGAGAGAAACTAGCCGGAGAAAAGTCAGACGCTAGCCCACGCCTCTGTCTGGCCCCTTGAGCAGATAAAAGCAGGGTCCAAGGAGAGAGGAAGCCGAGTTACAGGCTGCAAGCAGTCTCCCGCACGCATGGCAATAAAGCCTCTGCCAGCTGAAACTCCGCGGTGTGCCGAGTGATTCTACACAAGACAAAGCTGCCCTACCCCGCGGCGGGTACAGGTCGGAGCAGTACCTGCGCCACCAGAGCTTTGCGGCTGTCCCTCTTGACCGCCATGGCGAAGTCCAGCCAGGTCCAGGTGTTGTTGTGGTATTCCAGACAGGGCAGTACAAGGTTCAGGTCCTTCCAGTCCACACTGCTCTTCTCGCCCTGCAGACACACGCGCACATGCGACACACACGTTTGCTTTACCGCGGTACCAATTCTCACATGGGCCGACTACGTTCTGTTATCCGAAAATTATTTAAGGGCACGAGTCGCATTACTTTCCCCCTTAATATGTTCCTTGAGGGTGTGGCATAAACCGCCTTAAATGCAAATCAATAGCCTAATTAAGAGGAAAGATCACTATATATACATACACACTATAATATGTATTAAATAGCATATTTAATACTCAAGAAAGGCTTCATCATCATGAAAACTGCCCACCGTCATCTTGCTCCTTAGCTTTGAAGTATTCCAGGTACAGAATCCCAACATGTGTACAGATTTCGGGAAAAGAGCAGTGACAAGCAGTAGGACGTAAAAATTATGAGCCGTGATCAGACATTTAGCCTGAATGATGATTCCAGAGGGAATTGAAGTGTGTAATCTCACCGGGGGGAAAATAATCTGCATGTGATTGCAAGGACGAGGGACACTGCAGAGAGGCTGCTGGGGCATCTTAATAACCCTAATTCAAGTAACTTTCTAGGGGATGCAGATCCGATTCTACAACATCAGGAAAAAAAAAGTGGTTCTCCAGTTCCGAAATATTGGGGAACAGTAACACTACGTTGTTGTACTGAAGGGGAGGGACGGACAGGAAATTACATAGAGTGTAAAAATTAAGTTGCAACTGGAAAAGTAATCATAATGCCTACGATTGCAGTGAATCGCAGCAAAAGTGATGAGTCTGAGTCATGAATACAGGGAGGGAGCCCAGACTACTCCCAGGGGCTCGGCTGCCTGTGCGCTGGGCCGTACTGACCTTGTAGCTCACGCACAGAGGCACCTGGGGGATCTTGATATAGATGAAGGAGTTGTTCATGGCCGCCCTCTCCTTCATCTTGTCGATATCATCCACGGGGTGCTGGGCAGTAGAGACAGGGCCCCGTTAACACAACCGCAAACCGGAGAGCTCTTCATGTTCTGGTCTCCACCCCCCAGCCCCACAAACCAAGCAGTGCTAACGGGTTGTAACGCAAAATATTCCTCTTCAGTGGGCAGGTGTATCAAAAGCAGAGAAACAAAAAAGGATGAACTTCTGTGAAGAGGTATTATTCCCTGAGCTAGTATAGAAAGGCAAAACACATTTAAATCTGCTTGCAGGAACTCTTCCACTTGCATTCTGAATTGTTTCGTTACAACGTCTTTTCAGGTAAATGCAAACCACCACAAGTCCAGTTTTATAAATAGGGCTTGTAGTGTTGTAACCAGAGGTGTGAAGGAACCTATGCCTGCTTTGAGTTAACAATAAAGTCTTTAAGAATTGTCTTATTGCTTTGTGCATTCCTGGTTGGCCAAGGTCTCTGGAATGGAGATGTAATTCACGTATCCTACGCTCCAATTTATAAGCAGGGGTCTTGGTTAATTGCCCAAGGTGACCTTAGCTAAATACCTTTCTTCTGACCTTATTTACAACTTACAAGGTAACAAACTGTTACTGACCCATTATGAAAACATGTGATTTTGTTTGGAATTTCTGCTCATCTTCAAGAATGAAAGCCTTTTGTTCTGTTTGGAAAAGCGAGTGAGAGGCGAGCAGTTAATCTGTTAACCTTGTCTGTCCTCCTTTCTCTATTGCAATAAAGACATCCCGATTGGATTAATCGGAACCGTGTGTGGTTTTCTTCGTGGAGTCTAACAGGTGCGACACAGGAAATGAAAGGAAGCAAATAAACCAGAGACCCCAGACGCAGGAAAGAAAAAGAGGTGTCAGCTGTACCTCTGGGGGCTTGCGAAATGACCTCCTGACCCCTGAAGTGCGGTTCAGTCCCTGGGTGACCCCCTTGCTGGGCCCCAGGGCGCCCACAGAGTCCTCCGAGAGCTGCCGAGGTTTCACCGCGGGCACCCCTGCAGAGAGAAGGACACACTGGGCATCACACTGGACACAGCGGTGGACATTGCAAACTCTCAGGCATAACCTCCCTTCATCCCTCAAGAAC